GGAGTCCAAACTGGTCTCATGGTATGAACTAAGCAGTGTATAGATCTTGCTGAGTGCTCCCTTATATGTTTGCAGTATTATAGTTGTGATGTTTGCATGAAATGTTTCCCCTGGAAATATATTCTGAGGAGGATTTCCACTGTATACACTGCTGCTAAGATGAAACGATACAGTGCACGTTAGTTGTGTGTTGGCTGCACTTCCAGCAACAGGGGTGAGGTAATTTTCCAACAGACTATTAAAAAAAGATGACGGGGAGGACAATACTTATTACTGACATGCTGAGTGTCTTTTACTAAAGAAGCATTATTGATTCCCTGCTGACAAAAATCTGTGGGAAAGACACTCCAAAGCCCACTGGCGTGAATCATCATTTGAAAGATGAGCCTGATGCTTTGACTCGCCAGATATTTTAGCTGAGAGGTGAGGCGACAACATATTGATTAGAGCAGCAGCTTATCTACAGTACGAGTAGATTTACTTTCTTTCATAAAACGACAAGAGAGCCACATAAACGAAGCAGCTATAAATGCAGGGAGGCAGAGGACGGAGCTGCCAGCGGGCTTGAAATACGGCAAATCAACTGAACACACCTCACAAACATACACCCACACAGTCACATGAGGAGGGGAAAAATAAAGAAATAAAAGAGAGACTTTTTTTTATTTTTTATTCGATGCCCAGAAACGGTCGGTGATCAAACTCCAACAACCAAAATAGCCACGGTGATTTAGTGGAGCGAAAATCCATTATGGCTCCATCCAAAGGTAATGACTTTTTCAAGCCTCCCAGCTGATTCTTCAGAACAAGAGTGGAAGGAGAAAACACACACAGTGGACAAATCAGTCCTTTGTTCAGAACACTGTGGGGTCCTGAAAGAGTCTACCCTGACATCACCTCCTCTCTTTAGGTCTTTTATTCGCTGAACCTTTCTCAGTGGCAGAGAAGACAGAAGCATCTCTATCTCAACCGAGCTGGCTGCTGCGCCCACCGTCTGGCATACAAACTACAACTGGATAGTAGTGGATTATGAACCGTGGAGTCAGTCATATTGATTTGCTACTTGTTCATCAAAACATTCTGCCATAAAACTGAGCATTATTGCTTCAATAAAACTAAGTATTGAATTTTCATCTTTGGCACTATAGATTGCATAAACTCAAAATAACATTGAAGTTTCTTAAAAAAAAAAAGTTATTTTCTAGTTTTGATGACATGAAATTTCAAGGTATTTTAATTAAATTTTACTTTATTTAGGCAGGGTTGCGTCATTACAGCTATCTATCAAACTATTCATCATCTTGAACACCAGGCAGGGCATACATTGCTTTTGGAAACATCCAGAACAAAACGAAGAAAGAAGCTTTTAAGTCTCTCAGCTGTAAAAGACGAAGCGTCCTTGAACAAAGCGAATAATCTTAACTTAGAACTGGATGAAAAAAGCTCTACAATGCTATATTTAAAAAGAAAACGTAAACGCACATAGAAGCGCCCACCATAACTTTGGAATTTGTCACAAAGCAGAAGAACTGCATTCTTCACTGTCCCTTTGTGCAGAGACTGTATTTAACGCACATTCTTGCCAAGACATGACCCCAAGGCAATCGCAGAAGCAAAAAATAAAATAAAAAATAGGCTATGTTTTCAATGTAGCTCTAACTGCAAGGCAGTGCCGCTTCTTTGATTCTGGTAACAAGTGGAAAAAATAAGATAACTGTCACACAGACTCCTGACAGACCGAGTTTTACAGACAGATTCATATTGATTCTCTGATGCTGCGCATACTGGATGGTAAACTAAATAAAACTCCCAACACATAGAAATAAATCTTTTTTTTTCTGCTGCGTTAAATCCAGTTACATAAACTGAAAGAGGTGCTTGAATAAAAATAAATGACACACAGAAGGTGCAGCAGTTTCATCATTAGCAAGCAGATGTTATTCGTGAAGTCTCTGCCTTCAACAAGCTCAAACTCAAACTGTATCTGATCTGTGGTTTCCAGCACCGTGATCCTATTATTTTCTGTTTTTCTTCCAAATGAGTGACTGATATGGGTTTTCCTTTTTTTTAAAGAAAGGAATCAAATTGCTGGCACAGCTAAAAATTAATGTGAAATTATAAATAAGTCTGTGAAGCCTCATTAAGACTCATCCTTGATTAGATCCAGCTTTAGGCCAAAGGAATAATTGGCAGCTTCACATTATTTTAGCAGCGAGTTTGCTACTGAGGTAAATAACCTTCTTTGATCCTCTCAAAAGTTAATTATTAGACAGCAGCCGTTTGTGCTGTTTTACACAATACGTATAGCATCTAATAAAAAAAAACTAGAGAAACTGTATTTCCTGCGAAAATGCAATGTGAATGCTTATTGCAGAAGAATTTGCAGAAATAAGCTGAAATGAGCTTAAAAACAAGCTGAAATTAGCAAACAATAGCTAAAAATGAAGCTGAAAATACAGAAAGAAGTTTAAACTGGCAGAAAAAAGCTAGATAGGCTGAAAGTAGCAGAAATTACTATGAAAAACTTAAATTTATCTGAAAACAGCTGAAACTAGCTAAAAATGCTAAAAAGGTAGTGAAAAGGTTAGAACAAGCTCAAAGTAGCAGAAGAAAGCAGGGATAACACGTTTGCCCAATTATGATGAAAGAAGGTGGAAAGCATGAAAAAAAGGTGAAATTTGGAGAAAAATAAATTAAAAACACGGCTGAATAGTAGCTAAAAAATAAGAAAGACACTTAAATTACCAGAAGGAAGTGAAGAGAGCACACTTGTGCCACATTTGGATAAAAGAAGCAGAAATAATCACACAAAAGTGGAAATTATCTGGAAAAAAGCAGAAATTACCCAAAAAAAAAAAAAAAAAAAAAAAAAATGCTGAATAGTAGCTAAAAAGGCAGAAAGAGACTAAAATAATCAGAAAGAAGTTGAACACTTTTTTTTTTTTGCTGAATTAGATTGAAAAAAGTTAAATTGAGTGCAAAAAATGTTGAATTAGCTGAAATAACTAAAATTAGCATAAAACCGCTAAATAGTAGCAGAATTAGTAGAAGAAGCTGAAACTTGTAAAAATTAGATGAAAGGAGCATAAGCTGAAATGAGCTAAAAATTAATTTGAAGAAGGGCAGCACGGTGGCGCAACTGGTAGAGCTGCTGCCTCTCAGCGAGCAGGTCCTTGGTTCAAACCCCGGTCCAGGGGTCTTCCTGGGTGGAGTTTGCATGTTCTCTCCGTGCATGCATGGGTTTTCTCCGGGTACTCCGGTTTCCTCCCACAGACCAAAAACATGCATGTTAGGCTGATTGGTAACTCTAAATTGTCCCTAGGTGTGAGTGAGAGAGTGAATGGTTGTTTGTCTCGTTTGTCTCTATGTGTCCCTGTGATGGACTTGCGACCTGTCCAGGGTGTACCCCGCCCCTCGCACAGTGATTGCTGGACATGGGCACCAGCGACCCCCGCGACCCAAAATGGAATAAGCGGGTAAAGATAATGGATGGATGGATGGATGGATAATTTGAAGAAGAACAAAAAAGTTTTAGTTAGCAGAAATAATCCGAAAAGAGCAAAAAACAGCTGAAAAAACAGCTGAAAGTATCTGAAAAAAAGTTTAAATTTGCAAAAGTAAGCTGAAAGAAGCTGAAGCAGAACAAAATGTGAAAGGAGCAGTAAAATTTAAACAAATCTAAAGATTTTGAAGGATGTAAAATGAGTGCATTTCATTTTATATGAGGAAAAAAAAAATGGCAGAAAAGGCTAAATATTCCAAAAAGCTAAAGTTGCACCAATACCAAAAGTCATAGCATCCTTCTCCTGAAAGAGCTGAACATTTTGATTGATTTGTTAAAATAGCACAAAAATTGTGGAACGAGAAAGATGCTGAAAAATGTACAGAAGATAAATGGATCACAGTAGTGTGAATGCTTCATAAACATTCCCACAACAAGTACGGTTTAAGGACCATCATGATTTTAGGAATATACAGTAGGAATCAGGCATAAATAACTTGCATAGAACAAGAAATATGCTTGAAGGGTTTTGGAGCAGGACCTTCAGCTGGAATCTGCCCATCTTAATATAAACTGACACAGGGATGTGTATTACATGTAAATTTGTAGTTTCTCTCTCATTTCAGATCACACAACAGCAAATGCTGTCACTCAGCCCTTTGACCTGTGGGGACCTGAAGTCAGTGTCCAGGTTTGCAAATTCCTCAACCTGAACCACCAAAGCCTGAGCTGCTGTCACCCCTCTGCCCTGCTCGTCTTTTAAATCAGTACCACTACCACTTCCTCTTCTGCTGGAACACTGACAGCCGAGAGATAAGAAAACCTAGAGCACACCCAGAATAAATGTTCAGCATGCACAAAATGCTGCACGAGTCCTATTGAAATTCACAGCATTATCAACCGAGCCAAGTCTATTGTTGTTGATTGTTTCAGGATGCTTTCTGTGACAGAGTAAACACTGTAAACATATATAAAATGTACACATATGCATGTATTGTGCTCCCATAGTAATTCTACTAGAGTAATGATCTATTGTTGTACAACATGAGTGGACAAATAGGACAATTTTTAGATTTTCTTTACCATTTTTTTTTTACATAGCTACAAAATATTGTCAAACAAAAAGCATGTCATTGAACACAGTGGCACTGTCTCAGACTAACAAATTCACTTTTTGTGAAGTGACACTTGTGATAATGTATTTACATGTCAACACTTGGTGAAAAAATACAACATGTAAAGCACTTCTTCTCTTTGAAGCATATGTTCCTGCTCTGGTTCTGGCAGCACAAACAATGATCTTACTAACCAGGCAAAGAGCTGTCAGGCCTATTTTAACAAATGCATATTTAGATGTTCAATTTGTATTTTTTAGTCTTGGTTTTTCATCCCCCAAATTATTGTTATTAAAATGTAGTTTTAAAAAGGCATTCTAATTTTAATTCAGTGAAACTTCTACTGTAGTAGATCATGTAAAATGTTTATGTTTTTTTCTTACCTTTCATACCAAACTTGGAACGCCGGCCATATTTGTTGATGACAACGAAACTGACGAGGAGGAGGACACAAGCGAAGCCAGCTAAACCCACAGCAATGGTCACCTGGGAGAAATGAAGATGCTTCATCAGCTCAAGGCAATTAGAAACACAGAACATCAACACTGCACAGGAGAGTTTTGCCATGATGTGAAAATGTTTGGTTCTGTTTGTATTTGGTTATAGGTTATGCTTTACATTATTGTTAAAGCTCTACAACAGCCCTACAAAGTCCTCAACAACCTAGCTCCATTTTATATTATCAATCTTATTGTTCCACATTTCCTAACAGAGAACTTCGCTCTCAGACTACAGGCTTACTTGAGGTTCCTAGAGTTTCCAAGAGCAGAATGGGAGGAAGATCTTTCAGTTATCAGGCTCCTCTCTTGTGGAACCAACTTCCAGTTTCTGTGCATGAGGCTGACACGTTGTCCAGTTTTAAGACTGGGCTTAAGACTTTCCTTTTTAATAAATCCTAGGGTTGGCTTGTTATGATGCTATATGATTAGACTACTGGAGGACAAATTGACCACATTTCTTAAAATGCGCTTAAAATATTGTTACAATTGAATAGTTCTCATATGACATTATATGAATCTCGAGCTGCCATTGTGTATCTGTTCCTTCTTCCTGTCCTCTCAAACCCGGCCGGTCGAAGCAGATGGACGCTTTTCCCGAGCCTGGTTCTGCTAAAGGTTTCTTCCTCATGAGGGAGTTTTTCTTTTCCACTGTTGCCTTTACGCTTACTCAAGATAAGATGTGATGACGTTAAACTCAAAGCAGTCTGCTCCTCAGATAAATAATGTTAACTTACTTTTTATGTATATAATGTTTCTGTTCAGTCCCCGAGACGACTTCTGTTGTGACTTGGTGCTATATAAACAAACTGAATTGGACTGAATTTTAACGTTACTTCCTGTTTTATATATATATATATATATTAAAAAAAAAAAAACTGTTAGTCTTCTGCTGCACCTGCAGACCTGCTCCTAATTATTTAATTAGCACACCTGTCTAGTTTGTAGGACTTTTACTTTTTCAGTATACATAGACCTTGATTCTGCTGCTTACTACCAGACTTTGTTTGCTCATTGTTTTACCTCTTGTCACTTTTTGTTTTTCACTCCATCTGAGGTGTTGCTTTCAGAATGACCTGCTTTGAAAGTACTCCTGTTTATTTATTTATTTATTAAATTGGTTGATTTTTGTTTTTACCTGCCTTCTAACTTCCTAGTTTTGCATGTGGGTCTTACTCGCTTCCTTCTGACAATTTGACTTATTTCTTTCTATAGTTCATATATTTTGAGTGGAAGCCATTAAAACATTCTTATTTGTTGGCAAATTGTACGTTAAATATACTTTGTAGCATTCATCCGCAGATGCATAATGATGTGACTATTGCTACAACTTATTTTGTATTTCAGCTGCATAAACCTTGAAAATGAGGCTTCAAATAATGGAGCTGTACTGGGAAAAAAAAAATTGCTTCTCATAATCACATACATAATTAGTTCCTTTCATGTTTAATGCCACAGTTTAGTTTTCCTCAGCAGACATACATAGATTCAAAATATTAACATTAAAAATGGTAGCTTTTCTCCCCGGATTAGCTAGCTCCAACATGTCAGTGTTTTTGCGAGCTGGCTCGCTGTTACAGCTTTGTGCTTCACACATGTGAACTAGACCATTACCTGAACAAATTTCTGTTTCTTTTCCAAGAAAAGTCGAAATATCAGCAGTGACAAAGTCTACAGTCACACTAGAATGCACAGCTTATCTTTTTATGCTAAGGCATGAAGCATTGAGCTGTGAGAAAGAGGCATACATCAATTAAAAAATGTATTAGGTGGGTAAATGTATTGGTGTTTCAAAAATCATGCACATATTTTATAATGAAACATAAGCAAGATGTTAAGCTAACCTATAAAGTTAGCTGGTTCAAATAGAGCCTAATAAACAATTTAGCTACAACGTATGTAAAACATTACCTTGTGCAAAGCAAATTAACATAATTTGATATTTATTTAATTCTAATAAAAACTAAAATATTACTGTATAGATTTTTCTGTAATCACTTAAGCTAATTTAGCTTTCTGCAACATTAGCAACTTAGCCTTGGTGAGCGCAAGTACCTGTGCTTGTTTTAGATTAGCAACCTATTTATTTTAATGATACAAAAAAATATATATATTGTCACAGCATTTTTTATTCTAACTTTAGGTCTTTCTTTTATACTTCATCATACATGTGTAGGTTCAAGTTCAAGTCAATTTTATTGTTGTTTCATCACATGTGGTATATGAGGTGGAACGAAATTATGGACACATGGTCCCAGTTACACTCAACAATAGCAAACATATAAAGTTTAAAAAGAAACAGTACATATGGATCTCATCCATCCATCCATTATCTTTACCCGCTTATTCCATTTTGGGTCGCGGGGGTCGCTGGTGCCCATGTCCAGCAATCACTGTGCGAGGGGCGGGGTACACCCTGGACAGGTCGCAAGTCCATCACAGGGCCACATAGAGACAAACAACCATTCACTCTCCCACTCACACCTAGGGACAATTTAGAGTTACCAATTAGCCTAACATGCATGTTTTTGGTCTGTGGGAGGAAACCGGAGTGCCCGGAGAAAACCCACGCATGCACGGAGAGAACATGCAAACTCCACCCAGAAGGCCCCTGGACCGGGGTTTGAACCAGGGACCTGTTCGCTGAGAGGCAGCAGCTCTACCAGTTGTGCCACCGTGCTGCCCACATATGGATCTAAGATACGATATACGCTAAACCAAAGCCAAACGGCACACCAAAAGATCTCAGGTATACACTAAACGCTAATAATGCAAAACAATACAGTGTAACAACAGCTGCCCGAACATACTAGGTGTCCTTGATCTTGGGTCAACATTAACCAAGAACAATTACTGAAGTATCAAACAGAGTTATTTGCAAATAAAACTAATTCATATGATTAAAAACACAATGTATATAGCTCAGTGGTTCCCAACCCTGGTCTTCAAGGAACACTATCCTGCATGTTTTAGTTGTTTCTCTGCTCCAACACACCTGAGTCAGTGAATTCATTACTTCCTCAAGTTCTGCAACCTGTTAATCACTAATTCATTCAAATCAGGTGTGTCAAAGCAAGGAAACAATTAAAACACACAGGATGGTGTTCCTCAAGGATCAGGGTTGGGAACCACTATTTTTTTTAGTTGGTTCAGAACCTTTGCCATAACTAGCCTCCCTCCAACCAAAAGCCTACTGAATCACAGTGTAACACTTTACTACAATAACTTAGACAAGTGGAAGATTTGAATGTCAAAGGTTTTAATGTGTAAAAAAATAAATAAATATAACAGACAAACTTTTAAACTGTTATTCTGCCCTGAAGCATATTTAATGTTAGGGTGTACAAACTGGAAATTGTAATATTGTCTCTTTAACTTGTAAATTAGGTTGCAGCTTTTAACAACTTTATTCTTCCACAACATGTCAGAACCAATGAAAGTTCATTAGATGAACTGGAAACCATTAAAAACTGTGCATTAACTTGTTTGAGAAAAGATACAACTTTCATTAGGTCTTCCTAAATTAGCATACTCTCAATTTGCATATCTGCACACCAAAAAAAGACACTTCTTCACGTTAAATTTCCATTCTGAATCTTCTTAAGTATCACTAAGTGTTTTAAAATGTTTGCAACACTTTCAGTTATGAGTCTGCCACAGTTCACTGGTGTAGCAGCAGCGACACATTACACTTTCGTAATGTGAATCCTAATTTTTTTTTTTGTGCGGTTGCCCAAAAGAAGTGTTAGCACAGCATTTTACACAGTGGATAAATGATCACAGTGGGGAAAATGCAGGTGTAATTATTAACGCTCACAATGGCTCTCTTCCATTCATGTATCACAGGATGGTACTCCAGTGACCAGCGTGCTCATATCGAGGAAGTAGAACTGCCACACCAGAATGACAGCAGCTATTATTAAAGATATTATTACACCTTAGCTGTTCCTGCTCTCATACGTCAAAATGTCTCCCATTATTAAGTCTATTAACAGCCCATTAATGATTAGTCCACTATTGAAAGACTACAGAACCACAGTCTTCAGAAAGGGGAAAATAGAAAAGTTTTGTGTGATATGAAGGAACTATTTAACAACATGATGATGACAAATATGCTGTATTAACATACTGACACCACAGAAACAATACCAGTCTGTAGGAAGATTTGTCATACAGGAATTATTTAAGGGAAGATTAAAGACATTTAAAAATAAACTTAAAGATAAGGTAACCAAAATATTTAAAGGATTTTTTTCAGAAATGTTATGATGTAATGTTATGGATGTAACTGGGACCCCGTGTACATAATTTCGCTCCACCACATGTACCACATGAGGTGCGAATGACAATAAAGAAACTCTGACTGACTCTGAACAAATAATATATTACCTGTTGCTGAGTTTTGAGAAAGTGTTTTTGACTGCACAGAACATTAGGTACTCCATATGTCATCTTAAGACAACAATTTCCAAAATATTACACCAGCTCATTCAAACACTCAAAAACCTTTACATCGTTCTCAATAAAAGTGCTGTAGAAGTTAAAGCTTATGCTAAGCTACAGCTTGTTTTTCTTCTGCTGGAAATAAAGTGGAAATGTCATTTTATTAAAAAAACAGCACACATTTATGTTTAAGAAAGTAAAACGTTCTGAAAGCTTGATATCGCAAGGGAAGTAATTCTAGAGCTCCTTTATGCTCTCCTGTACGTGAATGAAACTTCAACCTTTAACCTTCGCAGCAATGTCCCCACCAGCTCTTTGCACTGGTAACTAAGCACTCTGCAGTCTGACAGCTTTATCTGGGAAAGGTACAACTTGAGGACTTTTTAGAGAAAGTACAATAGAGGATCGGCCAGTCACTTTCTGTGCAACTGACAAGTAATTTTAGCACATTAAGTACCTCCATCTCATAATGTGAAGAAGTCACGCTCAGTTCAGGTGTTTCTGGAAGACCAACCTGACAAATTGGTGTTAAGCTTTAAAATAGAATCATTCTGCAGTATTCTGCTTCCATCACTAACACCGTTACCATTTCTGCTCTCACGTTAACATTATTTGCAGTTTCGGCTGCTGTGCCTCAGCGCTGTGCGTTCAAGTAAAGCAGACCAAACAATGAGCACACCCCTACAAGGGTTCACTGACACAACGGTTTGTGGTAAAGTACGCAGCTATTTAAGAACTGTTTCACAAACATCATTAAGGAAAAAACTCACCCCGAATGTGTCTTCTTCTGGTCTGCCTGGATCAACGTCTGTAGGCGGATCTGTGACACAGAATCACATGAATAGGCATCAGAGTCTCTGGGAGACGATAAATCATTGTGGCCTCTGCTCACGCCCACACTCCTTTAGCAATAGTAAATACGGTATATATAATGACTGATCTTTGTTCATTTGTTTTATAGTCAGGGAAAAATGTGTTGTTATAAAACACAGTTAAAATAAGATAATATGAACCTTCATGTCTGAACGCAGTTATACACACCATCATCATGTAAATAATTTTAAAAAAGCATTTCCAAAGATCAGTGTGCAAACAGTTAAAAAAATGGTATCTGGTGTGCTTAATATAGCACACATGATTTTAAGATTACATTAAATATATTCACAAAAAAAATGGTTTTAAAAACTTTTAGAGATAGACAATACTACATCTGTTTATGTGTGTCTTTACATAAGCTGTATCATGAAAACATATAGTGTTGACCACGGCAGGATTATGTATAGAGACTTTTTTTTTTATTTAAACAACCTTGAACACTGAAATCTGCCTTTTGTCAATGTAAAAACCAATTGCTGGCCAGTCAGGCTCAAGCTGCTGATGACACAGCAGACATGGACATTTTACTTAAGTTGCGCAAATGCAAGCATTTGCAAAAAAGACAGTATGCATTACAGAAAACAAAACAAGGTACAGCTGAAATTATAAATTGTATAAGCCATAAAAAGCTGACACTTGTATGCCAAATATCACATCTGGCAAATAAAAATTGCCTGACAAACACTGAAAATGTACAAAGCAAACAAGAAGATACACACTGAGGCAAAACTGAAACCTTCCTGTACTCAGATCATCATACATTAATGTAAAATGTGTAGGCCTTTGTGTTCAAATACTATACAGAGAATCTTAAAGTTTTGACACGCAGAAATACGTCTCCGTGTCATGACAGAAACCCATAAAAGAAAATTAACTGAGCTGAAGGAAAATCTAGACTGAGGCCTCCAGCCAGGACATCAGAGAGTAATTGTGGGCAAATTAATGGCCACATGGCAGACACTGCCACATGCACAGACACAAAAACACACACCGTACTAGTGTGTGTGCTCTGTGTCCCTATCTCGCGGCCTTGATCCTTGTTTTCTCTCCTCCCTCTGCCCTACTCTCATCTCTGCAGCGTTAGCATCAGTCCTCCCGCCAGTCTGCCCTCTATGACTGAACTCCCTCATGCGAAGCTGTGAGTGTGTACATGTACGCCAATATGAAGCTGCGGCATGCCTCATGCAGTTTGCCGCACAGTCCATTCATCTCCATCACTGGCAGTACTGTAGCCTCATAATCCGTGGCTGATTAGTAAGAATGGCCTCGTATAGATATGGGAGGAGACTGATGAAGGTCAGAGATCGAACTGACCCACTTTGTTTGAGCTGTCAACAGTGAGGCCACCACCACAGTCTGAGGCCAAACCTTACACCACAAACAAGTGGATCTGCAGGAGCAAGCGAGATCATGCCAAAGCAGTTTCTTCTGTATTCCAACTAAATCCGAAGATATTCAAGCCCTTAGCAGCCATTAAAAAAGGTGGAACTCCTGAGCGCACATTCTGAAGAGACTTGTACAGGATGAAAATACATTAATTGATGTGAGATATAGTCTACTAATTGCACTAACTTTTGCAAACAAAACTCTCCAGTTACTCTTGGGTCAAAATGACCCAAGTTGAAGTAGGATCATTTTGACCCAAGGGTAGCAGAAGGGTAGTACTCTAATTCATGGAACAAGGGCAATGGGGACATAAGGAAATGGAAATTTATTGGGGCAGTCTGTTTTCTGATAGGTTTACACTCATCCAATTCTAAAGCATAACTAAAAGTACCTACACATCCACATTACACTGCAGTGTGCCACATCGCCAGATTTTTGTCAAGGGCCTTTTGGCTTGTGGCCTAAAATAAAAATAAACAAATAGATACTACAAATAGATAAATACGGCACCTCTATGACCTAATCAAATGCTTTTATCCAGATGTAGAAGCTCAAATGCAAACACCTGGAATTCAACTCAGTTCAATTCAAAATACTTTATTTATCCCAAAGGGAAATTAAATGTTGTTGGAATGGAAGGTACGGCATCTTTGAATTGCGTAAATATGAATGCTACAGAGGAAAGGACGCAATACAGGTAATGCTTTCACCATTCAGCAAAGCCATTGAGAAGAGAAACCGATAAGGAAACAGAGGAGCAACACTAAAAGCTTCTTTCGAGACTGTAGCACAAAGTGAACAAATTTCTCCATGGTTACAATCTTAAAAGTGGTAGTCAAACGGTAATGAAGTGGCTTTGCCTCAGCATATGTGTGTGCACAAACTGACACCAAATAAGCGATAAAGAAAGAAAAAGGACTGGGGAAAAGAAATCCCAACAGGGTTACATTTGAAAATGGAAACTCACCCATTTCCACTGTGTCTGCAAAAGAAAAGACAGAGAGCATCATGCTATGTCAGTAAATCGACAGAAGATTTTAACCCTGGAATATTGACCATGAGGAGAAATTTGCCAAACTTTGTGGAGTTTTTTCACCCCCTTCCTGTGAACTCAGCATGAACTACAAGTGAACAGTCTACCTGACTGAACTGTGGATGAACCTTGGCTGCTATCCAGCCAGCAGGGATTAGCTGCACAACCAGCACACTCTGTAGAGAGATTCTTTTAATAAATGAAAAAAAAAGCAAACAATAAAAACTCACGACAGAGTTTACGCATAATGTCGAACCTACAATGTATAAAACAAGTAGGTAAACATAAATATATTGAAACTTTGCTTTAATCATGATGACATCAGAAAAAGGAACATTCTGGCACTTGTTTAAATCAGAGTTAAGTAACTGTGTTTGTTCTACTCATCTTTTGATTCCTTATCAAAAACAGAAGCCCTGTAAAGTAGCCATTATTGACAGAAACAAAACATTGTTATCCACTCACCATTTTCATCAGGAGGCATGAGGAAGTGTCCATACACAGTCTTGGTGACTGTTCCCAGAGGGTTACTGGCCTCCAGAGTGTAGTTCCCGTTATTTATGTGTGTTGGGTTCTGGAAAGTAAGACAGCCTTCCAAGTAGTCTTGGTAGAAGTCCATTTCAGTCCGTATGTAGTCACTCTGTCGAATCTCCTTCTGTTTGTGGAACCAACGCAGCTTGGGGTGTGGGTATCCACGAACTGTGAATTCAATGCAGGTGTCAAGGCGTTGCTCTGGCTCAGCCAGTCTCAAGATAACTGGAGGAACTGCAACAAAGAAGGAGATAAAATAGAAGATTTAAATACTCTGACCACAAGCATGCATGTTAGGCTGATTGGTAACTCCAAATTGTTCTAGGTGTGAGTGAGAAAGTGAATGGTTGTCTCTTTTGTCTCTATGTGGCCCTGTGATGGACTGTAGACCTGTCCAGGGTGTACTCAACCCCTCGTACAGTGATAGCTGGACATGGGCACCAGTGCTCCCCGTGACCCGAAAAGGAAGAAGCGGGTAAAGATAATGGATGGATAGGTGGATGGATGGATGGATCTTGAATGTAAAGGGAAACAATAAATCAGCATGCCATGTATAAGACCTCTGCCTGCTGCGAAATATATTTATTTTAAACATAACTTTTGAAATACAAGGATCTGCATAAGTTAAGTTCAACAACCCTTTTTAAAACCTAAAAAAGCAGGAGCACATCAAACTCAAAATGATTCACCAGAGGTGACATTTATAAGACAGGTTTCTTACTTGCAGTGGTGATGAGGCTGTACCATGTTCTGTATTCAATTGTCAATACATGAGAAACAAAAAGTATGACAGGACCTGCTTGAAATAGATCTAAAAATGCATTTGGCATGAAGAAGTATAATTTTCTGTTTATTTTCTGACGGAAAGCCACACACTTTTGAATCAACAATGCCGCCAAGCTGAGAAGCAATTTATCACTTTAATACGATCAGATACACCTTGGGAACAACACTGATTTGCCTTTGCGATGAGTCACTCTTCCCATTTTATTATCAGAAGGAAGTTTTTGGCAGGTAGTACAGCTTGGCATAGCCCCTCACTCTGTTTCTGTCTCCAACATTGTCGGAGACAGAAACAGAGACATTGTTACAGACACATTGTCTCCGACTACGCACCAAACCTACCCAGCCACCTTCAGGGCTCACATGAACATACAGTCATAATACACCATTGTCTTGTCTTCAGCTGGGATTCAGAGAAGCTAAAGGTGTGCAATGTGCAGTGCAAAGAAAAAATGAGAAGCACTGCTGGCAGAGCCCAAACACTGCTTTTGTACCACAGCAGTTTGAAACAGGAGTGGCCTCAATAGGCTTTTCATAAACCAACTCAATCGGTAAGAAAAGTGGAAGTTGTTGTAAATCATCTTTAGGGTCAATGTGTACAGCTGTTTTTATGTTTTGTATTTTGTTTAAAAGTATTTAAAAAAATCTAGAAGCTGCTAGAGGTTTGTCAGTATCTTGTTGGTATTTCTGTTCAAATATCATGGCTATAAAGTCCTTCTCCTTGCAAAGAAGCCCAGCAACCCTTCAAATGAAACAGTCACGTGTATTCAAAATCCAAATCTTGGCATTACAGATTTTCTATTTATCAGTTTATGATTGGCACCACTCTACTTGTCATTTGCTTACTTCCCTATTCTCTCACAAACATACAATGCCAAAAATCCTAAACTCTGGCGTCTTATAGTAAACAGGAAAGAATCAATCCACTGCATAAAACTGCAGCCTCAAAAAGAGGGGAGCCAACTCTTGGACATTTCATCAGATTAAGCCTACAGAGCCAGATCCACACCGATCTTCTTAAAAAAGGAAGTGCATTCGGAATTCCTCTAGCAGCACTTGCCTTAAGGCAGGGTTTCATTCTTCTTTTTACACCTGATTTGGTAATCCAGCACAAGTAATTTGATAAAGCAGATCAAATGGTGTTTGTGGAAGAAGGGATTTGCTTATGAGTCAAAAATATTCAGAACTCTATATTTTTCCAGGGTGAGTAATAAAAGGTGAGCAATGCTATTGTCTTCTAGAGAAGACGGTTCATAAATGTACAAAATTATGATATTAATGTATTTTTATTATGGCTGGTGAACCACTGAACATGACTTATCCAAGCAAAGAGAAAGTGAAAACACAAGATTAAAAGTCCAGCATCCCTTGAAGGATTGCATATCACTTATCACCTTTGAAGCCAGAGTAACTTATATTGTCTCTTATAGAGATCTTGGGGCATCTGTTAGCTCCAAACATTTGCATTAAGAACGATGTTCAGCTACTAAATCAAAGTTTAGCTTAATATCAGTACATTTGACCAAGTTACAACTATTCCTGTGTTTGCAAAGGTGGATTAGCTGTGGTGGTCAATTTAAAGTGGATATTCTCCAAAAGTGAATCAGTTTTAGATGTACCGCCAATGAGAGTTTCATTAAAATCTTTTAACTGGTGTATGGGGTATTTTTCCAACATGACAAACAAACACACAGAGACAATGGCAAAAACATTTCCACTCTTTAACCAACGGTCATTAAATAGCCCAGTCAACCTTTATCATCAAGAGTTATACCTTGACCAGTCACTGTCCAATGATTATATTCAAAGTAACTGTCAGCTTTGCCATCGAGAGCTCGTGTTTTCAAAGTAAGTAATATCCATCAAGTAAAGACATGAACAAACTATTTACTTGTGTTTAGAAGCTGTCATTTCATACATTCATTTGGTGACAGACAACATTACAAAGAAGTCATTCAGCTGATCCAAAGGCAAAAGCTTGTGTATGTGTGAACGGGCTGGTGCGGGGGCGTATGAAGAGCTGTGATTTAGAGCGCATGGAAGAGAAAAGATAAGAGTAAAAAAAAAAAAAATGGACAGAAGTAGGGCCCAAAGAAAAAGAGAAAGCTGAAAGTGAAAATAATAATAATTCTTCTCTTGATAGACAAGTCAGGGACTGATCTATTTTCCCCCTCAGCGTGGCTGTCAGCCCAGTCTTAGTCAATACAATGCAAGTCATTACTGCTCGGCGTGCTCGTCCACACGACCCCGACGTCCTCGTACTGTCCACATAGATGACAAGCTTTGATAACTAAATGTCTTTGATCAGGGAGAAGTCTGAATACAAGGCTAGTTGTGCAACGTTATCTGCTGTTAACACTTGTGTATTGCAAATGCCATCTTCCAGGCAGACTGCAGATACAGATCATAACTGGTGGTGACAGGGGGGGCAGCAGGATCATGGCATTGATATTAGCACATACTCCCTCTGGGCTAAAGCATGCTGTGATTAAGATTTTAAACTGTCAGAGGCAGCACAGGGCCGACTGCTGTCGGACCATTCTCTTACTTCCAATCCCAATTCCAAAAGTGTTGGATTAAATTTACAAAATCACGATGCAGTGATTTGCTAATTTTAGAAGTCTGTTTCATTCACAGTGTAACATGAGAAACTGGAAATGTTTTTAACATAAAACAAGTACCATTATTTTTAGAAAGAATTTGATTTTTTTAATTAGATGACAGCCACGCGTTTAAAAGGTGGGGAAAGGCTCAAGAGGCTTTAAAATAAAGAGGCACAAAAAAAATAAAATAAAATAAAATAAAACAGCTGGAGAATTTAGGAAAACAAGAAATATATCAAAAATAGGCAATTGAATGGTTGGCAACAAGTCAGCAAGAAGACGGTGTATGCGGAAATAATTGTAAAGAGGTTGAATCTGTTAGAAAAAAAGAAGGGTACAGGTTTACTAGCTTGTGGAACTCCAAGACAGAATATTATTCACTAATATGATTCAGAATAAATTTCCTCAACCAAAAATTGGTTAGACTTTGAATATACCACAAACCACAGTTCCTAACATCAAAAGATTTTAAGAATACTGTAAAATGAAATGTGCATGCAAAGGACAGGGCTGAAAGACAATACTGGATGCTCGTGGCACTGCATTAAAAACACGTCTGATTTTGATATGAATATCATTAAACAGGGTCAGAAACACTTCCAGAAATCATTGACTGTAAATACAGTTGCAGACAGTTTTCACAAATGTAGGATAAAGCTCTATCATGCAAAGAAGAAGAAATACGTTACCACCATTTAGAAACTCTGTTGTCTTCAAGCCAAAACTCATTCAAAATGAGATAGGGCAAATTAAAAAACTGCTCAGATGAACTGAAATTTACAATTATTTTTTTAGAAATCATAGCTGACATGTTCTCTATACTAAGTAGGAGAGGGACAACTTCCATCCATCTATTATCTTTACTTACTTTATCCTTTTCAGGTCACATGGGTCACTGGTGCCCATATCTAGCTATCACTGGGGGACACCCTGGACAGGACTCCAGTCTATTACAGGGACACATAGAGACAAACAACCATTCACTCTCTCACTCACATGTAGGGACAATTTAGAGTCACCAATCAGTCTAACATGTAAGTTTTTGTTCTGTGGGAGGAAACTGGAGCACCCGGAGAAAACCCACACAGCATGGAGAGAACATGCATACTCCACCCAGAAAGGCCCAGGGCCCAGATTGGAACAGGCAACCTTCTCACTAAGAGGTGACAGCTCTACCAACTCTGCCACCATGCCACCCGCCTATCATTTATGCACAGTTTTAAAGCTTGCCTCTCTGATGGTATGGGGGCACATTATAGCTGGGGCAGCTTACGCAACAGGAAAGGTACTATGAAGGTAAAATGTATGAACAGGTTTTAGAACATCTTCTCCAAGAAGTCTTTTTCAGATAAGGCTTTGAATATTTTAGCAAGATAATGCCAAACCACAAACTGCATCAATTATAGTTTAGTTTTGCAGTAAATGAGTTTGGGTGCTGAACAGACCTGCCTGCAACCCAGACTTCTTATCTATTAAAACCATTGACATGTCATGAAACAAAAACAGTCTGCAAAGAGACCCAGAACTGTTATCGATCAACAACGAGACAGCATTCCTGTCCAAATCCTCCAACAGTTCTTCCTGGACAATTACAGATTGTGGTTAAAGGGAACAGAGACAAAAATGACCCTGTCCAACTCTTCTGACATGCTGCCATCAAATTCAAAATAGCCCCCTAAATGTTGTATATTGGCAGCACGGTGGCATAACTAGTAGAGCTGCTGCCTCTCAGCGAGCAGGTCACCGGTTCAAATCCTGGTCCGGGGGCCTTTCTGGGTGGAGTTTGCATGTTCTCTCTGTGCATGTGTGGGATTTCTCTGGTTACTCCGGTTTCCTCCCACAAACCAA